TTAATAGGATATCATCGTGCTACGAATCATCGTTCTACGATAAATTGAGAAAGCGAGCAAAAATGTGATATGAAGATATGAATTGAAGATATGAATATTTGTCGTATAAACTTAGGTTTCTATATTAAAAAAAGAAATCCGTAATTATAATATAAATAAAATAGTAATTATATCACACTATTTAATTTTACTGTAGTAAGTAACTAAATAGTGGTCATATAAAGAATTATAGTAATAAAATTACGAATCAAATGATATTTACACAAAATGTAAATTATATCTGATATAAACCGGGGAATGCAGGATTTCGTTATCATCCTTTATAATCATACGTTATCATACGTTTTGCAAATATTGCAACCATCGCAGTTTTGCAATCCCCTGAATCCGCGGTATTTTACACGTAATTTTACGAGTGACTTTATAATTTCATGAATACGTCATATCCGGAAAATTTCAGACATAGAGATATATAGACAGGAAAGTCCCAGGGAGACATAAAAAAAGTTGTTCCATGAATAATAAACGTTATCACGCGGATGACTAAAGTGTTGGTTATCCTCGGACAAATTGCACGGGAACTGTTCGTATCGTTTGACGGGTACGTCCGGTGTGCGTCTATCGTACTTCATATTTCATGAGGATCGACTGCGCATCAAACATTCTGAGCAGGTCCGAAGTGTTTGCTGCCGCGTCGACGGAGGGATAGAGGCACTCAAGGGCGTGTAACTGCAACATCTGCTGGCGGAGATCCGCGGCCTATTCCTGCAGCGGCGTCTCGCATCTGTTGTCTGGGCATTTCGGCAGTATCAGGAAATTTCCTCGAAGGATGAGGCACGAAGGTCGTGCCGCGCCCTCGCAAGCTCCGACGATCGAGGTGTCGTCGGTAGAGATCGTGAAATCATCATGACTCTGGCATCGTCGCTCGCGAGAGATGCTCAGTTATTCGCACGAGGGATTCTTCGCGCGAATCCTTCCACGGCAAACATCCTCGAGTTTGCAACGCGCAAGCGACGATACGTGACGCGAATACCGCGCGCGTCTTAAAACTCGTTATAGAATCGTGCGTTTTCGCGCGATCGATGCACCCCCAAGCGCGCGCGCGCGCGTATCCTCCCCCCGTAAAGTCAGTCATCGACATTGTTCGCGCAGTGACGACGTGACTATACCCGTCGCAAAGTGCCGTCTTTCATTTAATAGCGCCTTGCGCCACTCAATGGAATCGCCATTGACTCCTTCCCAGGCGCATTTGACATGCCGGCTCCCCGGGGCCGTAAATTCGCCGGTGTCGTAAATCTCTGCAGCGGGTTCCACCCTCGATCTCCTTCGCTCGGCAATAAATACGAATCGTTGGCGCAGGGTTGCTCTCGACTTCCCGCTCGGAGCCATCCCTAAGAGCCATCCCGGTCACCGACATCCGACGAAACGCGTCGCCAATACGTCCTGATTTTCGCGGGGAATTAAAAGTTCCGTCCTCCTCTTCCCCTTCCTCCTCGCTCGCCTCCTCGGCACGATTTTGCGCACCCGCGAGCCTGACGGACACTCGCGAGATTTCCCGTGCGTCTCTCCCGTCCACGCGACTTCTTCATTCCTGACCAAGAATTTCCCCGGAGAGGTCTGCGGCGACACGTCACGTGTCTCGCATCGGAGGAATATCTTTCGCCTTTTTTCTCGGCGCCGCCGGATCTCTCCTCCCTGGCTTTCCATCGCAGCGCAATCGCACTGTGCTCCCTCTTCGCGCCACTATGAAACATCGCTTACGGGGGCTGTTCGGGTAAACAAGCGTCGCTTCGGATTCGCACACCGTCTCGTGATCATCGGCGCCGGAGTTTGCTCGTGTCCTTGGCTCGTACCTGCTTGTAGGATTTCGCCGAGCATCTCTCGACGTTCCCCATTTCCCGCGGGAGCACGCGGCGGTCGGGAAGCCCGCGAAGAAATTGATTGAGACGTATCTCCGCCAGGGACGGATATTAAAACAGTCTGAGGAGGAAAAGGGAGAGAATAAGGATACGAGTGTCAGGACGAGAGATTACCGTGGGGTGGTGGATGATGTACAAAGGCCGGGGCTGGATACGCGAGAGAAAAATTCCGGCAAAGACAAAGGAGAGAAAAAGCGTTTACGGCGCGTCGTACTCGAGTCAGAGGGTGGCAAGAGGACTGGGAGTGGGGGCGGAGGGGAAGTAAAGTCTAGCGGATAAATCTGCTCGACCGATCGCCAGATTGAATTTAATAATACAGACGCACCCAATCTCGTCGAGTAACGCTCTAGCCGTCCGACGCTGTTAATGTTTAACCATCCTCGAAACGTGCGTTTCGCGAAGAGGAATTGAATAGAAATGGCGCGTAGGAGATAGCCGCGGTCTTTCGGGTCCTCCTTTCACCGTAATTTGATGCGCGTATACGAGATACTCGGTAACCGCAGCGGACTCTGGCCACGGATTCTACGGCAAAGTCGGGGAAGCGAGTCAGTCAGAATTTAGTAGACTGCAATCTCTGTCATACGATCTGTCAAATTTCTACGTTGAAAATTGAACACCTAAAAATCAAGCTACATCTACGTGAGACGCGAGATATACTAAGTAATCAAGAAAGTTCGCGTCGTGTCGCTGTTAATCAATGAAGATGAATAATAAATTTCCGTAAGTTTCGCGCACCGGTAAATAAGCTTCCTTGTTAACACGTTCGCGACATCGTGACCACCACCGGTGGGTCACACACTACGAAGAGCATTGCACTACTTCTGAAAGTCTCTGTGTGTATCGGTGTATCTCTATATATCATAACTACGGCTATATGAGAAATGTATCTATGTACTATATCAGGCAGGCGGGAAAGCGCGTCGTTTCTAGAGGTTTTGTCATTGTCAATTAAGGGGGGAGTCACATGCGGAGCAGACTGTTTTCAAGGCTGTTTTTACGAATTTCTTTTGATAGAAACGGTAGAATCAATGGACTTGAAATTTTCACAGTGTATTCATTAATGTTCAAAGTATAAAATAAATTCGTTACTAGCTATATGGAAAGTAGACATAAAACTTTAAACGCGTTTATGTAGCTATGTAGCAACATGGTTTGTCGATCGGACAATTATAGCAAAATAAAAAAAATTGTGCGTCCTTTAGAGTGAACCAATGGATTTATTGATTCAACGAACGTCGCGAACGTGTTAAATAAGCTTTTGTTTAACCACACTTTTAATTGATGATGACTCAAGGGGGAGAATTACATGCGGAAGACCGTTTTCAAGCTATTTTTACGAATTTTTTTTAACAGAAACGGTAAGATCAATGAACTTGAAATGTTTACAATGTACTCATTAATGTTCAAAGTATAAAATAAATTTTATTGAATCACAAGAACTGATCTAATTTGTGATTATAGATGAAAATGCATGTCATCCGTTTGCGAGTTCTATACTTGTTCTCGACATAATTCCGGGCCTTTCACTACTCTGAGACCAAAAAATGAGAAAGATTTTTAAAATATACGATTGTCATTATAGCCCATACCAAAATGAAGCCAAGTTTGGAAAAATATGACTGTACAAAAAAAAGTATCGAAAATTAAATTTTTTTCAACTTGTAATCATGTTTAAAAGAAATGAAAAAATATAATATAACCGTGTTCAAGGTAGGGACGAAAACTATACATGTCTACTGTATATTGTGTAAAAATTTCAAGTTATTCGGTTCAGTAGTTTTTGCATAATCGTGTCGACAGCTTAAGAAAATGGTGTTCCCAGATAAACGCGTTTAAAGTTTTATGTCTACTTTCCATATAGCTAGTAACGAATTTATTTTATACTTTGAACATTAATGAATACACTGTGAAAATTTCAAGTCCATTGATTCTACCGTTTCTATCAAAAGAAATTCGTAAAAACAGCCTTGAAAACAGTCTGCTCCGCATGTGACTCCCCCCTTAATTGACAATGACAAAACCTCTAGAAACGACGCGCTTTCCCGCCTGCCTGATATTTCGCATGAACCGAGGAGTAGGACTTTGTTTGCCCAAAAGCTGGCCGCGGTCCGGCAATCTTTTCGGCATTGAATACAACTCCGCAACTATCGATTCTTCACCCTCCGATAGTCCCGAGATACCCTGTGTGTATCTGCATGTCAGACGGAGGAAGCACTCCGGCGCACCTCCGAGCGCCGTTAAGCCGCAGAAGAGGCTAACTCGACGTTACACCTGTCAGAGCAATTCTGTTGTACCTGCGTCATGTACCGCGTCCGAAAAGTCAACCGCTAAGAGATTGCGCCAATAAATGGAATTAACGCCCTACTGCAGGATACGTAGGGATGCTTCCTTCACGCGTCCTTCTTCGGTCATTATCGTTCGAGAGGGACCCTCTTCCCGGGCTGGCTGGCTGGTTGACTGATATTATCATAGTCAAACTTTGCCACTGAAAAAAATTGGACGGGAACAAACGCTTCTCGGTGAAATGGCTTGTCACGTTTAGGCCGACGCGCGTAAACATTCACTTTGGAAGACAGGTCGGGTCTCCGAACGGCCGACATACTTTCTTTCTTCGGACAGGCGACATTGCTCACATCGACGTACGCTGTGTGTTGTGTTTCCCCGAAAATTTATTAATCCGACAACGGCCGACAACTCGTCGTGGTGTTGTCTCGGGGCGACACCCCGTAGGCGTTTATCACATGTCCTTTCTCGTGATGATAATTATTAGACGCGCGTTGTATTCGAGTCCAACCTCGACCCTGTTATCTCCGGGGCAGGGGAAGATGAAAGATAGTGATGAGAACATGTCAACGTTCTCATAATAATTATCCGTGGGCTGCGCACAGCTTAGTCCACCCCCGAGCGAGCGTCGATTTGTCCGTGTTCTCATTCGTAGCAATTATTAAGGGCTCGTAAAGCCCGTCTCGCGAAAGAGATTGCGGTCAGCTCTACATGTTACATTATACGGTGTGTGTCATCGTTGTTTACCGTCGGAAGCTTCACGGAGAGTGCGCCTAACTGTCGGGTGACTCATTTCAGGCGGCGGTTTGGCGCGTCCGAAAATGACTCTGAATCTCGACGCCGGTGGGAACGCGGCGGGCTCGGAGGGAAACGCGAGCAGTCAATTGGCGCCGAAGAAACCCGGCGGCCTGAGCCTCGGCTTGCCCCTGGAAATCAGCACCGCTCGAGGATCGGCCGATCTGGTCGACGTGGAGCTGCCGTTAGAGAGGCAAGGGTGAGTGCAGGCAAGGGAGAGTCGCAGCGTCGCAGCGTCTCTCGTCGTTTCGCTCGAAGCCGAAGCAGTTTTGCGGCGCCGTCTTAGCGAGCGGTGGGTGGCTTCGGGTTGCCTCAAGAGCCGCTAATGAGCTCGTTAGCAATCTCAAGGTTACGCGCTCTTACCCTCATTCGCGCACTCGTACCTGTTCGTCTTTGAATTTCGCGGCGGCACTTTTTGCGCCGAGAACACTTTCGCAGCGCGGAATATCTTGGCGACTCTTCGCGGCTGCGAACTGTGGATTTCAATGCGCGCAGCTCGAGCAAAGGTTTCTTCCCTCGTTTCAGGTGGTATCACGGCTCCATTACGCGAATCGAAGCGGAAGCTGTTCTACGACTTCTACGAGAGGGAAGTTACCTGGTGAGGAACAGCGAGTCGACGAAACAGGACTATTCTCTGTCTCTAAAGTAAGACACGAGAGCGCACAAATGTTCGAAGACCGCGCGGGCTTGCTCGTTCAAATCGCCACATGTTGCACTAGGAAAAATGTATTGTTGCGTGAACCAAAATTTTGTTGTAGCAACAAAATAATGTGGTTAAAATATGCCCGACAAAACTGTTTAGTTCCTGTAAACAAATATCTTGTTTGATTACGATTTGTTCGTATAACGTAATACTTTTGTTATAGCAACCAAAAAGCTTTAACTGTACGAATTTTGTTAAAAATACTATAATTTTTTCTTAATATATAAAATCTAAATTTTATTGCACAGAAAGACAAAATAGTATCCACTGGGCAGTAGTTGATACAAAATAATATTTCGTTATTATGTAATTTTTATGGATAAAATAACTAAAATGCTTAATTTTTATATATGAAGTCTAAGAACAAAATCACTTGGTCTCAGAGAACAAAGCAGAAAAATATATTTAGTCGGGACAACTAAATATTTTGTTATATTAAACAAGATATTTGGTTGCTATTAAAAAATGTCTCAACTAAACAGTTTTGTTAGAGACACTAAATTTTTTTTTCTAGTGTGGTGGACGGGCGCAACACTGTTAAGTATTCATAACAACTACAAATATTAACCGCATATATTTCGGACCTACTTTTAGGCCCTCCTCAGTGTAAACAAAAGAACATACAAATAGTCGCAATGAGAAATATTTTCTGAAAAACAATGGGTCTGGATGCAAAGGCTCAACAAGCAAATAAGTGTGACAATTATCTGCAATCTTTGTAGTTGTAATATTAAATACTTGGTAGTTGCCCGTTATTTTTTGCGCTTTTTCACCGGCGTTAGCTCTTACTTGCCTATGTTTTCATTAGATTTTTATTAGATTGGTTATCTTGGTGAGCTTTGTTTTCATTTGATTACCACATGTTGTCGCTTCGAGGACAATCACTCACTGGTATAACGATTGACCGCTGCGAATTGTTGCAGAAGCGCTCGCGGTTTCATGCATATGCGCATCCAGAGGAACGAGGAGCTGAACGCCTACATCCTGGGACAGTTCAGCAAGCCGTTTGAAAGTATCCCGGAGATGGTCCGTCACTTCAGCGTGAATCGTCTTCCGATACGCGGTGCCGAGCACATGTGTCTCCTGCATCCGGTCATAGCTCAGCTTTTGTAGCGCATCTATCGTAGCGCCGTTTAAGGCGCTGTACAACACTTTTGATAACCCACTTTTACTTTTCCGACGACGAGTGCCGAAATAATAATACGCCGGCGCGGTCGCAACGAAGCGAGCTTGACAGCTTCCCGGCGCGGGAACGGGATGTGCACCCGTGCTGCACCCGTGGGGAATGTTACGTTCCCTCCGAACGAGGGAGTCTTCCGCGAGTATACGCGATACGTGCTCTCGAGCTGTTCGAACTTTTTCCGCGAGACCCTCCGTATCAATTCGCATTTCCGATCGAGCGAACCGTTCCGCACGAGAAAAGCGTCAGAGATAATGGACAATAATGGCTTCGAGATCGAGGTGATAGGAGTACAGTACAAAAGTATAAAAGCTGAACGAGAGGAGCGAAGCTCTCGTCAACGATACGCGCTGGCGATCGATCGCAGGGACGGGGAGAACGCCCAGCTCGGTGCGATTAGTTACGAGAGGCCAAGAGAGGCGAGCCAGGGGGGCGAGATATAACGTGCACACGTATGAAGAATCATCTCGAATTCAGGGCTCAGGGCTCAGGGCGGGGGCAGCTTCCACAGTACTCACGTACATGTAATACCGTCGTAGTCGTTTTCGACAACGCTTTATCTTCGCATGCCTATGGTGGTCGAGTCTAAATTTATACCGCGCGATAGGATTAGAATCGGATCGGCGGGGAAACGGCGAGAAATGTATGTGTCCGAGACACTCGCGCGTGACAGCGTCGAGATCTCGACGGACGCGCTTCGTCGTCCTCGCGTAAGATCCTCGCGCAAACCTATCTCATAGGCAGACGTAATGCAACGCAGCACCGAGAGTGTAGAGTGAAAGCTTGCGATACTACGGAGATCCTTGGTTTTTCTCAGCGGGAGCTTGGCAGAGAGCGATATTACCTGTGAGACGGATACACGAATATTACCACTCGACTCGCGACGCGCGCGCGGTGACAGCTCGCTCGCGAGAACTCTCGCGAGGAGATCGCTGAGAGAGGTACTGCGCGAGAGAAAGTGTCCTCGACGGCGTTCCCCGGCTGTTTCGTCGATGACTTATTAATTAAACGGTTGTTCCTCGAATTCGCGGCTACGCGGATTTTCTACGAAAGAAAACTCTAGATGGGATCAGAAACGCTGATTTGCGAATCGGTAGTTTAAGTAAGGAAAAGGGTAATATGTACTTAGGTTTAAAACGAAGGAATGTCGCGCCTGAGACGGCAGCCTGACATGGCACGAGTTCCGGAAGCCAAAGTAAAGCTAATCCTAATATTCAGCCGCAGAATGTAGATTGAACGGGCGGCAGACGGCTGGACGATGGCGCGCGGTGAGCGCGAAGAAAATGCCAAACTTTACTTCTAATCGTAATTGTTTAGTCAGGGTTTAGTTGTCCGTCGTCGTTGATAAGCGGTCGTTAGGTTTAGGCAGGTAAAAGAGCGTATGTACATACACGAGACCAAATTTTCGTTCTACATTAACGCTGCAGATATCATTAAACTTTAAATACCGATGGAGAATCTTGAAGTACCGAATGTTATACAGACTATTGTTCCTTGATGTTAAAAATGATTATTTACCGCCGTTCAATTATTATAAACCGCTGTTTAAAGAAGACCTAATTTAAAAATTATATTTCATCTTCCGTCAGAGAGTTCCTTCCCAACTACGTCTGCGCGTCTGCATTTAATTATTGCTTTTAACTTCAACAAATTTTATATTATGTAATTTATGTAGATAAGGAATACACACAGATTAACAAATATTAAATGATTTAATAAAAAGTACAATAGATAAATGGCTAGATAAAATAACAAATTTTCAACTTTTTTCTATTATTCTTTTTTATTGGCATATAAATTTCGATAAGGATTGAAAATTCAAGGGATGGGAAAGAGGAATTGTAAGCTTCATCCTATATTCTGTTCTGAAATCAACTCCTGGTCATCCTTATAAATTAAACCTTCAATGGATACACAGGAAAAAATACAATTCAATATCGGGAGCATAGTGTTGATTAATAATTGCATAATAACCGAGATTGGTCGTTGATGCTACGAACGACAATTTCGTTAATCGTCCTAATAATTTAACATTTTGACACATTGATCACGTCTAAACTCCTTGAAGATACTCCAGTCAAAATTTGAAATCTATTTTAAGATCGGAGTTCATAGACTCTCGTCATCATTTAATAAATATTTATAACCTCATGAATCTCTGATTATTTATCAATATATACTTGTATTATACAACAAAGAATATTGATCCATATAATCGAACATATAATAAACTATATCAATATGGATCCGCAATCTATGAGCCGTATTCAATCAAATATAAATAATTTACGTCTATGAAGTAGCAGATGTCGAAAATTTGTTTCTTTCTAATAATAATAATGTTTCCCGAGCTGCAAATCCCATCTTGAATCTACCGATGTATTCTTCTCCCTTCCGTTTAGCCTCATCGTCAAATTCAAGTTGGATTCCTTGTTAATGTTTACACACCTGCTATCTTTACAACTCCTTCTCTCTTACTGCTTTTGATTCTTAAAATCCTATCGAAAAATTCCCAATGTCAAATGCTTCTTCAAATACTCAATGTATTGGAAAAAACTGCAATAAGTAAACACTTATAGCCACACAGAGCATCATAATAATCTATACTACATCTCGAGATTCTTCAATAATTTTCAAGTTCGATGAAATCTACAGGATTAACGTAGAATCAAAATTCCAACTCGAGTACGTCGCATCGGTAGTCGTTACGAGTACTGGACGAGACGAGCGACGCAAGACGAAGGTTTCTCGTGACCTCGAGGAGAAACGCAAGAGAAATCGAAGAAGTAATGCGCGAAGATTCACGGGCTGCATCGATCGGTAGAAAGAGACGGTCGAGGTTAGCCGATACGAATAGTCGATGACTCGTCATCCGAGTCATCCGTCCGATAGTCGTCCCTGACTCGTGGGAGATTTTTGCGATAGGATGCAACCGATACATATTTTTTCATGTGATATTAATTTGTTACAGAGATAGCCTAGTTTCACCTGTGATCCGTTACTTAATTCCCTTTGTTCGCGCGCGCCGGCGCCCCAGCGCGCCCGTAAGCGCGCGGAACGATAATAATGATAATAAATAATTAATCTCGCTATTATATTACGTAGCCAGCAACGATGCGCCAGTTCGGTGCAATGACGAGACGTCCGTGGTGTTACAATAATTTTTCGAGTTAGGATTTCGATTCGCGCGCGCGCTAGTTGTGAGCGGAAACTTTCGTTGGCGCCACTGCGCTGCGAGTGATCGCGCACGCGCGGTGCAGTGGTTTTACTTAACATTAGACGTAGAGGGAACCTTTTACGACGGGTAGCGAGTGCCAGCACATCACCTGGAACAACCGATAGACTCATTCGAACACACTCAACTGGCTCGGCTTACGCGCACGCGTACGTAGTGCGTACGATGCGTTTATAGTTTCCCGATTAGAACGCAAACCTTTACGAAAAGAAAAGAAAAAAAGAGGAAAAAAAGGAAAAAGAAGAAAGTGTGTCCAATCGCGGGAGTAACTTGAACTTAAAAGCGCGCGAGGCACTCCCTACTCTCGCGTCCAATTAGGTTGAGCATATAGTTCATACGTCGTACTTTAAGCTGCCAGTATTATTAACTGTAATCGATAATGCATATCCATGTTAACGTTTAAGACATTATATTGTCCCCCGTACGAGCCCCCGATCATTGACGAAACTATGATCTCTATATATTTATTTCATATATACATATTATATTTATTGTGCATTGTGTCGTTGGGTAATGAGAGATAACGATCTCTCTCTTTCTCTCTCTCTCTCTCTCTCTCTCTCTCTCTCTCTCTCTCTCTTTCTCTCACCGGTGGTTTCTGTATACCGTTGATTTAATCGCGAGGTCATAGAGCTGTAACCTTGTACGATGATAAACGCTAGACTCCCGTATACGTAGACTAACAATATATACTACTACTTATCAAAAGGCAGTACGTATAAATTATGTGGTAGATTAACTAACTTGTAGATACTTCCTGTACCTTGAAATTTGTATGAAGTAGCGCTTAGATCTGGCGTATACATATATATATATATATATATATATATACATATATATATATATATACGTGTATATACATAAATATATATTATTACGAGACAAACACTAGCGCATAGTCGTTTGTAGGGTATGTATAATATCTAAGGTCAGGCGAAGCGAAGCGAGGAGAGGAGAGTCCAATGAATTACCCTGAGAGCGCTGTGCACGCAAACGGATCTCGGACGGCGATGTGCAATAGCGAGACGTGGTCTCGCAAGATGTGTAATACGTGAAGTGCGATCCAATATTTTTGTTTCACGGAAGCGAACCACCAATGTTCCAAATCGACTTCACTAGATAGTCTTGTGTACTCTGAAAAAATCTCTCTTAATAATAAAATATTTAATAACTCCACCTTTTGATATCACATTCTTCGCTCGAATAATCCCAGAAGAAATATTCTTCTCAGATCAGCGGAGATAAAATGTCGGAGCGGCGAGTTACAAGATCGTGTAATATGGGTCAGAAAAAGGGGGAGGAAAAAGGAAAAAGCATCTAAAAGTAAATTAATATCAATCGAATTGCGTATATCTCCTGCGTTATCAGTGTTCATTCGCCGTCATGTTCGTCTCGTAAATAATTTCATCCTGAGGCCCAGGCGGAACGATCATCGGGTAATCATTGCTTTCTTTCGGAATCACCCGTTGCACCTTCGTTGCTTCTTCAATCTGTGCCAAAGTGAATATAATGGGAGTATTCTCGGGATGCAGTTTTGCGTGAAACGTACGTAGGGTTCTTCGTAACCCTCGTACAGCTTTGTGTTGTTACCCTTTTTCAAGGATCGTTATACGTACCGCTTGTATCGGAGGTTGTTCCGTTATTTCCGGTTCCTTCGACAGTTTTCTAGATTCCCGCTTTCCTGCGAATGAATAATAAGATATATAAGCTCGCGGTAAAACCATCAGTGCTACGTTATTCACTCACGAGATGGGGCGCTATTACGTCGTCGAGCTGGAAGGGATTTACGAGAAGGCGCCGCTGGAACGGGTGGCACATGTTCTTCAGAAACCTGAAATAACGGAGCGGTGCAGTTGCGGTTAAAGCGAACGTGACGATGAATCGTTTGGAGCAACAAGAATATGTTTCCACGGGTACCTGACTACTAATCGGACTTTCCCAACACCTCGAGTCGCAGATGTCCTGCTTACACGTCATCGGCCGGCCGCGATACATCTGACCGTCCTTGCCTCTAATCATACCGTCGGATAATTGTATCGCCTCTGGTCCCCCCTGAGTCAGGAAGTGTCCCGTTCGCAGGACTCGTTGCTGAGGAGTCGTGACCGTGTGACTACCGCCGCAGTATCGATTGCACAGATGGTCTCTGATAAAAGTTGTCAGATTCAAGACACTATGATATCCATTATCTCCGTTATTGTATCAGTGAGAAATCTTGTGAGTCGTTCGCAACGACTCATGATGGCCAAAAAAAGGCCATTTTATTTTTCTCTACTTTTCAGTAAAGTCTAATATTCAGTAGAAAAGAAAGAGAAATTCTACGATGCGTAGATTACCGGGGAGTCTTTGCGGGTGTTTCTTCCTTCAGCGTCTTCAGTCTCTTAATCTCTTGCATCGCCGCCTCAAATTGAATCATATTTCTGCTATGGGGCAATTTCCTTTGTTGCTTCCTAACCTGGTCCAATTCATATGTTAGGTAGGGCCTCATACTGCTGGTGGAAGGCAACGGTTCGAGACGGAATCCGCAGACTTCTTCCGTTTTCATCACGGCGTCCTTGTCGCACGATATACATTGAACGTCTCTGTACGAAGGAAAGAACGAAGGAAGGAAATCCGCGTCGCGGATGGTTCCAAGTTTGTGCTTTGTGCGCGATTTCAAAACGCTTACTTCAGCATCTTCTTCGTGCCAGCTGCTTCGTTCTCGCGTTTCATCTCCGCCATGCACTTAAGTTTCTCCTGTAGCGACTTCAGTCGAGTGTTCACCAAATCCTTCAGCGGAGTCATCTCAATTTTGTCGACCTTGCTCGCAATCTCATTCTGCACCTTGTCCAGCGCTTGTTGCCAAATCAATTCCTGCTTGTTCAATTTGTCGACGGTCTCCATGAGGCCGCGTGCGAGATCGTCACAGGCGGCATCAAATCGATCGTGTGACACCTGTCGACGATTTATTTTTTGTATCCTCGGTATAAAAAGTATACTAGAAGTAAGAATCAGGAAGAAGTTTCGTACTTTTTTGCTCACAGCTTGAGCGTCCGCTTTGTCGGCCAGAGCATCTTCGAGGTCCTCTTTGTCTGCTTTGATAGTCTTTAGAATTTCTATTTGTTCCAGCAGTGTCTATTGCGATACATATAGAAAAAAATTAGACAAAGCGCATAAACAATAAGTTTTGTACACTAATCGCCGTTTAATGTAAAACGCAATATAATATTTTGCGCGCGATGGATCTCTCCTTCTTTTTGCTCTTACGTTAAGATGCGTTTCCCGGCATTCCTTATCGTCGATCAGTTTATCCGCGATCTGCCCGAGTCTCTCCATATCCGTTTGAATCTCTTGTATTTTCGCGACAAGCTCGTTAATGTCATCCGCCCTTGCCGCGGCTTGTGCGCTATCCACTTTCGTTAGCAGACCACCGACTTCTTTCTCCAGTTTATCCAAACGTTCGGTAATGTCGCTCAAGACTTTGCTTTGCGTTGCCTCCATAGCTTCCAAATGTCGCTTTATGTCGTCGCTGATTTCGTCTATTTTCGGCCTTTCTATAATATCAGCTCTCTCTGCAGTATCAGGAGGGATTTCCGTAGTAATAGGCGCGGCCGCAGTAACAGTTGCCGATACTTCGATTTCTACTTAAGGGAAATATATAACTAATCGCTAGAATGATACATTTCAGAACATTCACGAACATCGAATCAATACTCGATAGACACGTACGCGCAACCTTCTCGGCAAGATCTCGCAGTTCCCGTTGTATCTTAGCCGTATCCGTTTTCAATGCAGCTATGTCGCGGCGGATGTCTGCTATATCCGCAGTTTCTAAATACACCTTTAAGTAGTTAATTATTCTCGGCACTTGCCGGATGCCTCAGCCATATCACGAGACTACATGCGGTTGATATATTTATCACATTTCGATACAAAAGCTTGTTACCCGCATCCGTTCGCCGTGGAACGTCGGCTGCTGCTTCGCTAACTTCCTCCGTCGTTTCTCCATTTTCGCGGAATGGTACGGTCGCTTCGTCGGTCACTGCGATTTCTGGTACTACCTCGGGTTCCGCTACTACTACTTCGGGTGTAACGTCTGTACGATCATCAGCAATAGCTAGATTATTTTTAATCGAATTGTCGGCGATCGCACGAAGCTCGCTGAATTCTTGATCCATCTTGGCGACTTCACTCTCGAGTCCATCCAATCGTCCATCGAACTCCGGAGTGTCCGCTATCGCGGTTGCGCCAACGTTACCTCTCATCACATCTTGCAGCATTCTTGTCAGCTGAAAGGAAACATTTAACGTGTTCTCGTTATCCGTTGAACGGATAATCCTCCATCCTTGCGTGTGCATCTTTCGCGAGAAGCTTACGGGATTAACAAGCATAGTGTACCTTATTGATACCTTGTTCGCTCGCCTCCAGTCTTTTATTGATATTAATAAACTGCCACATATCCGTGACAGGATCAGTCATTCTGCTCTTCAGACGCTCCATCATTTCCGGAGACGTGGATAATTCCTTTAAAGCTTGAAACTGATTTTGCAGCTCTTTCACCTGTCGATATTAAAATTACTACGTCATTTCCTATCGCTGTCAAGAAAGAAGCAATATTAATTTAATTATCCACTCCACACATACAGATTGCTCGAGTTGCTTAAACGCCAATGCCGTAGGGGTTGAACCGTCTACAATGGGTTCCACAAATATAACCATTTCAGTTTCGATGTCTTTCCCAGGACTTATTCGTTGCTTTACACCCTTTGTTACTTTCAAGTCATTCTCAGCTGACGGTTGAGTGCAAAGTAAATTAAATGGTAAAATAAATTAAATTCAGTAAGTATGTATAAAAAAATAGATAAAACTGAGATATTTTTCTCTCGTAAGGCTTGTACCTTTCGCAAGTACTTCAACGCTTGTACCATCAGTTTCTGGTATTCGTTGGGATATTTTGCCGGCACTGTCGGTAACGTTATACTCCTGAAGACGAAGGGAAGGCCCCGGCTTCAAGGACGCTACCATCGTCTGCAACAGTCCTCGCGTAAACGCACATTAAACACAGTCGGTGTACATTGCTGATTTAATCGGCTTATGGCTGAATTTAATCGTACCTTAATACAATTTGCATTTTCGCCGCGGTACTCCACTTTAGTGGCTTGCAAATCTATCTGATGCAACAAGACTTGAAGGAAATTATGAAGGATATTGAAATTAACTGCGCCGATCTGAAACCGATAATTTCATCAGTTTCCTTGTCCTAGGTAATGCGACATTGGTAATTATATATTTCGTTATTGCCTCACTTCTGGCGTCCCTAGAGCAAGATCGAGCAGCTGTGGAAGAGAGACTTGCAGGCTGACGATATCCGCGTTATTTACAGGTAATTTCTGCGCAACCCCCGTAGCCATTTTCCACGCAAACTATCGATTTCTTAAAGATTATTGATGAGGACCATAATTAATTGTAACTTCCCATTTGTGAAATAATGTTTGGTTACTCGACGAGGTTGACCGAATTGTCAACTTTCAAAATCGATCGCGTCTTGTGTACCTACATTCATCCCTTAACCGGCAAGAGTGATAAAATTCCGTTCGTATATTTGCAGTTGGCGCCACGAATACAATCGACAAGTAGCACATCCCTTTGGGAAGTGCTTGCATTATAGCATATTTTTTTATTCTTTTTATTTGTTTCTCTTACGTCCTGGAGGAGGAACGTAACTTGACACTTGCTTTCACAAGCTCCGACGTACTCGCAAGTCTGCGGTGCAGATCAAGGATCGGAATGACCTCTTCATCTGGCGCGGACGTACTTTATTCAGGTCAAGGAACTGAATCCTTTTACGTGGGATAGGACCGTGAGCGACAGTTGAGGGAAGGGAGAATTTTTAATGAGAATAATTAGTAGGAAAACTTGCGTTATAATTATACAAATTGCTCATTTTATTGATAGCTAAGCGGAAGTTGAATGAACTATTTACATTCGTGAAATTATATTCTGGATAATATGATTATATTTTATCGCGTAACTTTTCTTCAACATCATATATATTTTCATTCATTTTTAAAATATTTTCTTTAGACTTATTATATTTTTCAAGAGATTTTGCCTGAAGAGACACGCATGCGGGACACATATTGGTGAGTGCAACATCGCTGTTAACGTGTCCACGAGTTATCCGCAGAATGATGGATCGGCGGAAAGCACCCGCGTCCGGATGCGTATCGGACGACTGCGGAACCTGGTTTCCGCACGAGCAGCGGCGCGACACGACCTGCCAGGGCAACGCGGGAAGATTTTCAATCGCGCTTACAATGTAAAAAGATATTTCATTAATATACATCGCGATTGCGCTTACGATGCTGGAAAAAGAAGGCCTCTGGAGACGAAACTGCAAGATCACAATGAAGCACCGGGCATTCATGAAGTGCCCGACATGAAAAATATCGTTAATCAGATTTCGTCGCCCGAAAGAAATAGCCCGAATAGAAATATCAGTAGAAATATTATTGGGAGAACAAGCCTTCTTATTTTTTGTTATATTATTGTTTTATTTTATTATTTGTTGTGTTTTTTGTTTTTATTTTTTATTATTTGTTTTGTTATACAGGGTATCTGTAAAGTCCGACTCCACCCCTGGATCGAGCCACCCTGGCACGTAGCTTTATATGTCGCCAGTCGTATCGTTTTCTCCTCTCTTTTCCATTATATCTTTCCCCCTCGTTTGTCTTCGTCGCGAAGGTAGCGAGAGAAACGAAAGAGTTACTCGCGCAATGGCCGCTGCAATAGTTCGCTTTGAAACAGTTGAAATATTTTCTTAAGATATGACTTCTAGGGACCTGATACAACAATGGACTACGTCACCTAACGGCGACACGGTCTAGCAAAACTCGTTGTTGGTTGACACGGTCCTCCATGGCAAATTGGCCGTATTAGATGGAATCCATAGGATTCACTCCAATATCTTGGCTATAATTCACAGGTAACTCGCTCGCTCTCGAGACTCGATAGATGCGTGTTTCGGGATGACGCACAAAGTGATGTCGTGTTTGGTCCCCGCAGATTAGTCCACGGGAGCTGCAGTTGCACGACGGCAAGCGGCTTCTGCGAGCCGATCGCTACGACCAGATCAAGAAAGAGCTCCATAACTGCTTCGATGAGCAGATGCGGCGCGATGTCGGAGTCTTGCGAATCGACCCTGCCTTCAGGCTGATAGCCTTGGCCGAGCCGCCGGTCGTGAACAGCTCGTCCGGGCAATGGTTGAATGCCGAATTGCTCAGCTTGTTCCTCTTCCACGAAATGCGACCGCTCGATCGGTACGAGGAGATTCATATCATAAGCTCGAAGGTGATCATTACGGTTGGCGAAGTGTTCTCGGTCCCGAGTAAGTTCTCTCAATGAAACGCTCTGTTGCAGTTCGGAGAACCCAGCCGAGCGTTGCTGAGTATTGTAGAGTTGGCGCATGTACTACGTTCATCCCCTGACCCGACTCTACAGTCCTTCGCTGGATCGCTCAGCACCCGGCAGCTATTACGAATCGCTGAACGAATGCATAGGTTTCGTTTAGACGACGCCTAAGACGCGGTGCAGCGTGCATGTCTGGCGCGTTTCTTGCCGGCGATTGCGAAGCAAGCCCTTGAGGATTGTTGCCGCCGGTTGGATATCGTCCAGTCCATCCCCAACAGACTTCAAAATCGAGTACACAGTCACAGAAGATACCGTGAGGTTTGGAAGCACCACACTTGATCGGTATCACACCGCGATTCTCATCAAAATACCAGACATTTTATTCTACGATGTGCCGAAACACGTGGCGCTATTAGAGAAACTACTCCAGGACTTCAGTCTGGGCCAAAATCTGCTGCTGGTCGGCAATCAGGGTGTCGACAAGAACAAGATTGCCGACCGATTGTTGCAGCTGTTAAATAGGCCATGTGAATATATACAACTCCACAGGGATACTACCGTCCAAACCCTGACCTTATAACCTCTGGTTAGAAACGGGAGATTTGTATACGAAGATTCTTCATTGGTACAAGCCGTGAAACGGCTTGTATGAACTGGGCCGCGTCCTCGTTGTCGACGAGGCGGACAAAGCGGCCACGCATGCGACTTGTATATTGAAGGTACGTATAATAGCCTGACAATTATTACAACCGCTGCACTTTGTCACTCCATAAATCGTAAGAGAGCAACCTGTCGTTTTCACACTGGTGGAATTCGGTGAAATGATTCTGTCGGACGGGAGGCGAATCGTTTCCCACACGAGCGGCAGCGTAGCAGCTAATATTAACAACATACCTATGCATCCGGAGTTTAGGATGATAGTGTTAGCGAACCGATCGGGTTTTCCGTTCCTGGGAAAATGACTTTTTCGGAGCATTGGGCGATCTCTTCAGTACACATTCTGTCGATAACCCAAGCAGGCAGAACGAGATTCAATTGCTGAAGCAATATGGTCCACATGTTGACGAACGAGTGATCAACAAATTAGTGAGAGCCTTCGGCGAATTAAGGAGTATGGCTGATCAAGTTCATGGCTGATCTGGTTTCGTATTCTTATTCGACTCGAAAAGTGATCAACATAGTCAAACATTTGGAGGTGAGTTAAAGGCTTCAACTGGTAGGACCTTTAACATGTCGGTCACATTTTTTGAATGTTCTCTAGAGTCCCAAAATGACATCCTTTTAAGACATTTTTCAATTTCGGGAAAAGAAAAAAGTCACAAGGACTCAGATCAGGTGA